CCCCCTGGTGACAGCGCCCCCCGGTGACAGCGCCCCCAGGTGACAGTGCCCCCTGGTGACAGCATCCCCTGGTGACAGCGCCCCCTGGTGACAGCGCCCCCCGGTGACAGTGCCCCCTGGTGACAGCGTCCCCTGGTGACATCATCCCTTGGTGAACTTGTCCCCTGGTGACGTCATCCCCTGGTGACATCGTCCCCTGGTGACGTCATCCCCTGGTGACATCGTCCCCTGGTGACGTCATCCCCTGGTGACATCATCCCCTGGTGACATCATCCCCTGGTGACACCATCCCCTGGTGACGTCATCCCCTGGTGAACTTGTCCCCTGGTGACATCGTCCCCTGGTGACGTCATCCCCTGGTGACGTCATCCCCTGGTGACGTCATCCCCTGGTGACATCGTCCCCTGGTGACCTTGTTCCCTGGTGACGTCATCCCCTGGTGGCGTCATCCCCTGGTGACCTTGTCCCCTGGTGACCTTGTTCCCTGGTGACATCGTCCCCTGGTGACATCGGCTGGAGGATGCTCACACTCATTCTCAGCCTCTGGCATTCAGGACGGAGGAACCTGGCCCTGTCCATGAGCTCTTGGGCTGGATTGGGATGGATTAAGTCTCAGGCCTGCTGGCAGGGAGGGCCGGCTCCTGCAGCTGCCCTCAGGTGCAGTCTGTGTTTCTGGTATAGCCCGCTTGCAGATGCTTTGTGCAGGACCCCAAGCCTGCAAGACAGCTGTCTAGGCTGGGTGTGCAGGGTGGGCCTGTGCTCCTGGGGTCGGGACCCCCGGGCTACGGTGGGTCCTGGGGTCAGGAGGCCCTGGGCTACGGTGGGTCCTGGGGTCAGGAGGCCCTGGGCTACGGTGGGTCCTGGGGTCAGGAGGCCCTGGGCTACGGTGGGTCCTGGGGTCAGGATCCCCCTGGGCTACAGTTGGTCCTGGGGTCTATGACTGGTCCTGGGGTCCGGAGACCCAGGCTACGTCTCTGGTGTGATGTGAGTCTCTCTAAGGGAGGTTCTGATTCTACGTTGACTCCTAGGGTTTGGTGTTCCTGTTGGACACAGGAGTGGAGAGCTTCGTCCTTCTGGAGTGTGGTTTAGTACACTCCAGACACAGCTTACCTATCTGACAGAGTACTGGCATAGACCTGCTGAGGGAGCAGGTCTATCTGTCCTGATGGTGCCCTGAGCGAGCCTGCCATGCCCTCGGGAGACATGTGGAGAAGGGGCAGGAAGCCGCCAGGGCGGTTCCAGCAGAGGTGTCGTGGAGTCAGGAGAGGCTTGGGGTGAGTAGTGAGGAGTCAGGTTCTGGTGTGAGGAGTGAGGAGTCAGGTTCTGGTGTGAGGAGTGAGGAGTCAGGTTCTGGTGTGAGTAGTGAGGAGTCAGGTTCTGGTGTGAGTAGTGAGGAGTCAGGTTCTGGTGTGAGTAGTGAGGAGTCAGGGGCTGGTGTGAGTAGTGAGGAGTCAGGTTCTGGTGTGAATAATGAGGAGTCAGGTTCTGGTGTGAGTAGTGAGGAGTCAGGGGCTGGTGTGAGGAGTGAGGAGTCAGGTTCTGGTGCTAATAGTGAGGAGTCGGGCTGGTGTGAGGAGTGAGGAGTCAGGTTCTGGTGTGAATAATGAGGAGTCAGGTTCTGGTGTGAGTAGTGAGGAGTCAGGTTCTGGTGTGAGGAGTGAGGAGTCAGGGGGTTGGTGTGAGTAGTGAGGAGTCAGGTTGTGGTGTGAGTAGTGAGGAGTCAGGTTCTGGTGTGAGTAGTGAGGAGTCAGGGTTCTGGTGTGAGTAGTGAGGAGTCAGGTTCTGGTGTGAGGAGTGAGAAGTCAGGGTTCTGGTGTGAGGCGTCAGGTGCTGGTGTGAGTAGTGAGCAGTCAGGGGCTGGTGGGGCAGTGGGGACTCAGGGATGGCCTGGTCAGGGATTTGGACCTCGGGGCCCTGCCCCTAGTGTAGGACAGATGGGTGTGCCCATGTCCCCTGATGCCATTCCCGGCTGCCTCCCGCCTGCCTCTTGTCCTCTGTGTCCCTCTCCTCCTGGGAGAGCCCGAATGTCCTCCTCTGACCTTGTCCATCCTGCAGGTCACCTCTCTCCAGGGGACAATGTCCTCTGACATCACCCCTCCCAGGGGAGGCCTGGGCGGCCCCTTCCCAGATCCCTCCTGCAGGGGGAGGGCGGCACTGTTCCTCTGGGGCTGGGCGCGGGTCCAGAGGCAGTCTGACCTGCAGAGGGCTCACGTTGTGCTGGACACGCAGCCCCGCTCACGTCATGCTGGACACACAGCCCCGCTCATACCATGCTGGACACACAGCCCTGCTCATATCATGCTGGACATGCAGCCCCGTTCACATCGTGCTGGACACACAGCCCTGCTCACGTCATGCTGGACATACAGCCCTGCTCACGTCATGCTGGACGCAGCCCTGCTCATGTCGTGCTTGACATACAGCCCCGCTCACGTCGTGCTGGACATACAGCCCTGTTAATGCCATGCTGGACATGCAGCCCTGCTCATGTCATGCTGGACATGCAGCCCCACTCACGTCATGCTGGACACGCAGCCCCGCTCACATCGTGCTGGACACGCAGCCCCGCTCACATCGTGCTGGACACACAGCCCTGTTAATGCCATGCTGGACATGCAGCCCCACTCACGTCATGCTGGACACGCAGCCCCGCTCACATCGTGCTGGACATGCAGCCCCACTCACGTCGTGCTGGACATGCAGCCCTGCTCACATCGTGCTGGACACACAGCCCTGTTAATGCCATGCTGGACATGCAGCCCTGCTCACATCGTGCTGGACACACAGCCCTGTTGGCTACAGGGACTCAGCCAGTTCCGGGCTTTGCTCCTCAAAGGGTGGGATTTCATATCACCACTCTCTACAGGCATGGGGAATGAAGAAGACGCCATGAGCTGCTCAGGGACAGGCCAGAGGCCGCTACGATGCCCCTACGAAAGAGCCTGGGGCTGCTCCATTTTGATCATGGCTAAAAGCCCCAGCATACTTGTAGAAGCGTGTTTTCTTCTCAGAGATACCCTCTGGCCTGTAGGAATCACACTCTGTACACTTGAATACGAAAGGCCTGGGGATGGGAGGGGAAAATTGGGAAGGAGCAAGGGGAGGCCTGGCCTTGTCCAAACAGAAATGCATTCCTTACCTGGCTGGAAACCGTAACCCCTCTATACCCCACCATTAGAATAACAATAAAAAATAAAAATTGAAAAACAAATGCCAAAGGCCAGGAAGAAACCCAAGGGAAACTAGAAACTACTGTGATGGAGTAGAAGAGTAGCAGGCTGCACAGGACACAGCAACGCAGCTCTGAGCGAAACTCCGAGCAGAGAACAGCTTCACTAAAGAAGAGAGATCTCAGATCAACAATCTAGTTTCAGACTGTAAGAAACTGAGAAAAGGAAATACAAACTAAACCCAAAGTGAGCAGAAGAAAGGGAATCAACCCTAAAAAACCACAGCAGAGACACTAAAATAGAGAACAGAAAGACAGAGAAACTAGATACTCCAAAGTTTGTTCTTTAGATAGGTCAACGGCACCGGCAGACTGGAAAGAGGAGAGAAGACTAATACTCATATTGAAGCGCCTGCCAGTGGTTGGGCAGGAAGGCTGGTGTGGAAGTCATCATCTCCCTGTAGGCGTAGATGACACATCACCATATACACAGAAGTCTTAAGAAGTAGGAAAACTCTTGGACCTAGTAAAGGAGCTCAGCAGAGCTGCAGGATCTGATTGATGCCATGAATGATTAGAAATCAACGGCAAGACAGCAATCCTATATATAGTAAAAGGGAAAACTTGAAACCAAGGAGGCCGAAGGTTTGTGTGCTTCAAACCACAAGACATTGCTGGGGGAGCCGCAGTGGAGGGAGTGGCGGCCTGTGCCCGCGGCTGGTCTGCGGACAGCCTGCAGGCTGGCGTGGCCCCCAGAGGCCAGAGCGAGGCCTGGGCCTGCCGCCGTCTGCCCAGGGCCCTGAGTGGCACCTGACCTGCTTCCTCATCTTGGGGACGTGGGCCTTGATGGCCTCCTGGGACATAAGCTCTGCTTCTAAATTGGTGCCCACATGCCCAGCCTCACACGGACCAGACTCACTGCCCAGGTCAGTGCCTGTGCCCAGCCTCACACGGACCAGACTCACTGCCCAGGTCAGTGCCTGTGCCCAGCCTCACACGGACCAGACTCACTGCCCAGGTCAGTGCCTGTGCCCAGCCTCACACGGACCAGACTCACTGCCCAGGTCAGTGCCTGTGCCCAGCCTCACACGGACCAGACTCACTGCCCAGGTCAGTGCCTGTGCCCAGCCTCACACGGACCAGACTCACTGCCCAGGTCAGTGCCCACATGCCCAGCCTCACACGGACCAGACTCACTGCCCAGGTCAGTGCCCACGTGCCCAGCCTCACACGGACCAGATTCACTGCCCAGGTCAGTGCCCACGTGCCCAGCCACACACGGACCAGACTCACTGCCCAGGTCAGTGCCCACATGCCCAGCCACACACGGACCAGACTCACTGCCCAGGTCAGTGCCCACATGCCCAGCCACACACGGACCAGACTCACTGCCCAGGTCAGTGCCTGTGCCCAGCCTCACACGGACCAGACTCACTGCCCAGGTCAGTGCCCACTGTGCTATTCATGGTTCAGTTTTGGTTCAAGTGTGCAAATGGCGAAGCACCCTTGGCCCCGGTGGCCGGTGTCTTTCTTGTCCGAAGGGCCGTCTGGTGTTCTGGCACGGCGGCCCTTTGGAGGTTGGGGAAGCGACCCTGGGCTGCCCTGGGGAGGGAGGTCCCACCCTCCCCGGCGTTCCCGTGGTCCCGGCACACCTGGGCTCCCCACAAGGCGCCCGTGCCCTGAGACGGCAGGCCCTCAGCTGGGTCCCGGTCCCCTGGGTTCCAGGGCCAGGCCACGATCACACACCAGTGCTGAGGTGGTTGCTGTTGGTACCCTGAGAGGCGGTGGGTGTCCTGGCTTCACTAAGACCAGGATGTACGCCAAAGCCACAGCCACGCTGCCTCCAGGCTGGCCCTCCAGGGGACACGGAGGGCTTCCTGCCAGGGAGCCACCTGTCCACAGGGCCAGCCAGCGTCCAGCCAGATGCTGAGGCAGCATCCCGTCCCGGCCTCTCGCCGCCCGTCTCTGCGCGCTGCCCCGGGTACCCCCTGGGACTCTGCCCCCACACCAGCATCACCCACCCCTGCCCCACCGTGTCTGACCCAGGTCTACTGGTCCCAACCCTGACCCAGGGCCTTGCCCACTCCCGAATGCGGCCTCCGCCCCTCCCCCGGTGGGTCTCTGTGTGTGGAGGAACCACCCTCGGGCTGAGCTCCTAGGGAGGGAGTCTGTTTGCCTTGCTAAGCCCTGTGGAGGCTCGTCCCGGTCAGGGGTCCCCAGGGGTCCCCCCTGGGTGGCGCCGGGGCCCGGGAGCACGCTCCAATACCTGAGCAGGGGCTGCTTGGGGTACGGCGGCTGGTCTGCACCAGGGCACGGAGGGGCCTTCCTGGTCACTTGCTTGTAGATGTTCCTGGCGGTCACTCCAATCCACAGCATGGTGGACAGTGTGGAATAGTGCAGTGCGATGCCCACCTGGGAGGGGACATGTCAGCTAGCCGGCTTCCCCTCCCAGGCCGCTGCCCCCCCTGCTGCCCCCCTCCCCCAAAGCCCACCGTCCGTGCACAGCACAGCTTTCCTCGGCTGCCGGGGGCCGAGCCTTGCAGCTTCTCTATACTTCTCCAGGGACTGGCAGAGGGCAAGGGGCCCTGTGAGGGGTGGCTCCTCCGAAGGGAGGGCAGAGCCCCCAGCGAGCATCCCCACCCAGGGCCCAGGTGGAAGGAGGTGCAGCGGTGCCCCAGCCCCCCAGAGCTGTCATGGTGGCCGTGGCCGGGTGAGGTTCAGACCCTGCCCGGGAGCGTCAGGGACTCCTGGCTATGGAGACAGCAGCTGGGGCTGCGGCCCAGCGGCAGGACGCACACGCCAACTTGCTGAACTTCATCTCCATCTGATTCCCTAACATGGGGCTACCTTTGAGGTAATAGGCTGACATTTGGAAATGACAAGTAAAATATGGCTATAATTGGAGAAGACATAAATGTTTCAAGAATACAGAAATCCCTTGAATAACGCGAACATTATATCATTATAATGAGTTATCAAATCCAGAGTTCAAGTTTTGCTTATGAGCAAACTCTAATCGTTGATGAGGGTTTTGAGGGACGTGGAAAGTTGGGAGCTGCTCATGGTAGTGTGGCGTCGCGGGGACAGCGGACGCCCAGCGGTCCCTTCCCACTGCTCTTGGGTGTGAAGGGCACTGGGTGGACATCTCCAGCGTGCAGGCCTTGCCCTGCCTGTGAGTGTAAGGGGCTGGAACCTCCCGGAGAGAATTCCGTAGCCCGGATGATGGGGAAAGGGCAGCCTGGCCCTGGCCGGGGGCACGGTCCGCAGCAAGGCCCACACCAACGCACAAACAACGCAGCCTCTCCGCAGGGCTCCGACCCTGGTGCGTGTGCTCGGGGGTCTGGCCAGCCTCAGCCAGCAGCCTCTCCGCAGGGCTCTGACCCGGAGGGCGTGCACGGGGGTCTGGCCAGCCTCAGCCAGCAGCCTCTCCGCAGGGCTCTGACCCTGGCGCGTGTGCTCGGGGGTCTGGCCAGCCTCAGCCAGCAGCCTCTCCGCAGGGCTCTGACCCGGAGGGCGTGCACGGGGGTCTGGCCAGCCTCAGCCAGCAGCCTCTCCGCAGGGCTCTGACCCGGAGGGCATGCACAGGGGTCTGGCCAGCCTCAGCCAGCAGCCTCTCCGCAGGGCTCCGACCCTGGCGCGTGTGCTCGGGGGTCTGGCCAGCCTCACCCAGCAGACTCTCCGCAGGGCTCCGACCCTGGCGCGTGTGCTCAGGGGTCTGGCCAGCTTCACCCAGCAGCCTCTCCGCAGGGCTCTGACCCGGAGGGCATGCACAGGGGTCTGGCCAGCCTCACCCAGGCCATGGGTTTGGGGATCCCGGAAGGTATACTCAAGCATCCTCAGGGAGGCTGTCTCTCAAACGCCAGCTCTAGGCTGGACACACCGGGAGGCCCCAGAGGCCACCTGGCTTCTGTGGCCCTCTGGCAGGGGGTGGAGGCAGGGCGGGTGCAGTCCCTGCTTCCGGGCTGGCGTCGAGGCACATCCAGGAAGGGGGACTAATGCGGCTGCCTGCTTCTGTTTATGACGTCACTCGGTACTATAACGAGGCTCAGGGCCCTCTTCCTGTCTCCATGACAACTGCCTCTCCATCCATCCAGCTCTCTGGACCACTTCTCCTGGTTGTGTGGTGGTGATGCATTTGAGGCGTCCTGTCCTGAGTCCCCGGGAAGGTGTCCTGGGTGCGGGTCAGGGTGGGGCACACCGGGGTCCCCGTGTTTAACCTGCTCTGCCCCTCGCGCCTCCCTTCCAGCAGATAAGGCACTGAGCGGCTTCCCTCAGACCTGCTGGGCTGCTGACCAAAGCCAGCCTGGGCCTGGCTGGGGGAGGCCTCCGCGGTGCCAGGCACGTGTGTTGGTGGCCGCAGGCTGGGTGCAGAGCGGCGCGGGGACAGGGCAGCTGCCGTGGGAAGCAGTTATGTGCGAGGGGCGTGTCACCCGCAGAGCCTCGGCTTCCATTTCCGCCCCTTTCCCCAGGAGTCCAGCATCTCCTGCACCTGTCTGCCGCATCCTGCCGCGTTTGCCTGCGGTGGCACTGCCCTGGTGCATGCGCGGGGTAGGTCTCTGGCTGGTCCAGCCTGTGCCTGGCAGCGTGTTTGTGAGGGATGGGGGGAGCTGCCTCCTCTCCTGAAAAAGCAAGCAGGGGCCAGGGACGCCTGGTGGCCACCGTCTTCCTGTTGCCTCACCCGGCCTACCCGCCGTCCAGGGGTTGTCGGCAGGGAAGCATTTCTCACCAAGCATGCTCTCAGCCTCGGAGCCCTTCTAGACCTGCGCTGCCCCGCCTCCCAAGCCCCTGGGCTGGGCTGGGCTGGGCTGGGCTGGGCTGGGCTGGGCTGGCCTTGAGCGGCCAGCGTGCCCCAGACATACCCTCCCAGGGCTGGAGATGGCCTCCAACCGGCGCCGGGAAGCGGTTCCAGTGGGTTCTGTGGCGGGTAGGCCCCCCTCACGGAGCCGGTGGGGTGAAGTACAGACATAAGGATAATGACCCATTTGATAGCTTTTCCAGCGGCTCCGGGCGGGCGATCCCAGCCAGGGAGAAGGGATTTCCTGGCCCTTGCTGGGTCGTAGCTGCTCAGCTTGTGGAGAGACAGGGAAGCAGGAGGCCTTCTCCCTGTGTCTCCGTTCGTTCAGGCCTGTGCTGCCAGTGTTTCCAGGTCCAGCCGAGGAGGTGGGCCTGGCTTCCTGGGGTGGTGTGCACGGCCATGGGGGTGTCTGAGACGTCTCCTGGTGCACAGCGCTCCAGGACAGGGGCTCTGTCTCCTGGGTGTGAACATCTTGCTCACAAAGTACAGCTAGGCTCCACTCATCTTAGTGCTGGGAACAAAAGCGCAGCCACATGGTCCGAGTCAGGCCGGCCTCAGAGCCGGGAGAAGAGAGGACATGGGCTCCCCAGGGACAGCCTGACCCCAAGACTCCCTGCGCCGTGGACAGGCCAGGGGCGAGGTCGGCCTGCCAGGTGGCCTTGGCCTCCGTGGGGCATGCTGTTCCTGCTTCTAGGACCAGCAGTGGATGTTTGCTGAACTTGTGGAGCCTGGGTAAGGAGCGGGCCTGAGGACTGGTGTGCACGGGCTGCGGGCTGCCATGGGCGCCCCCTCCTGGCCAGAGCCATTCCAAGGGGTCAGGGAAAAGGTCTTCTCTGTGGTCCCGGGAAGGCCTGGAGGTTACGTATATCAACACCTTTTTTTTTTTTTTTTTGCCAGTGCTGGGGCTTTAACTCAGGGTCTGGGCGCTGTCCCAGAGCTGCTTTTGCTCAAGGCTTTTGCTAAAGGCTAGCGCTCTACCACTGGAGCCACAGCACTACTTCTGGCTTTTTCTGCTTATGTGGTGCTAAGGAGTGGAACCCAGGGCCTCATGCATGCGAGGCGAGCGCTCTACCACTGGAGCCACAGCACTACTTCTGGCTTTTTCTGCTTATGTGGTGCTAAGGAGTGGAACCCAGGGCCTCATGCATGCGAGGCAAGCACTCTACCACGGAGCCACCTTCCCAGCCCTATTAACACCTTTTTCAATCAAAGCAAGACCAGGGCACACATGCAATGACAGTCATGTCAACTCAATGCTTTTGTCAGTGCTGGGGCAGGCTCTCACAAGCTCGCAGAGCTGGCAGGCGGGCTCTGCGGCCCAGGCCTGGCAGCTCGGAGGCCGCACACGCAGCGGCCCTGCAGATTGCAGCGTGGGTCGGCTCCTGGAGGGTCTCAAGGACGCTTCGAGAGAAGCATTATGCCCTGAGTCCACTGCTTGCTGGACAGTGACCATCTTGATCCGGCCCCTGCAGCCTCAGAGCTAGCTGGCCCATGGCAATGATCTGATGTTGGGCAGTGCAGATGGCTTCTGAGGGGACGAGGCCGGAGCAGGCGCCGCGCCGCTCAGGAGCAGCAGTCGAGCACACAGTGGGATATTCTTTCATGAGGATCCACACATCTCCCCCTTGGTAAGAGGCCCACAAACACCTCTGGTTTTGTTATAGTACTCACCGCCTGGCACAGGATGGGATATTTGGTGCGGTTGATGCCACCGGCGAACACGGCAAAGGTCAGGGCGGTGTGGAAGCAGAAATTCAGCAGCGCGTGCCGGCCTTTCTGGCTGATGCGGATGGCGCTGTGGAGTGGAGATGAGAGCCGGGTGAGCACCCGAGAGCAGGGGAAGGTGTGGAGCTCAGCACCGTGGACCCAGGTCCCGCCCCGCCCCCAGGGTGCCACGCCCCGTGGGGGGGACGGTGGAAAAGACTGCAGGGCTGGGCGCTTCGGGATGCCTTGCAGAGCAGCTCCAAGCCGGCCACCTGACAGCTTGGCAATGGAGGATTTGAGGCCTGAGCTATGACTTGTCCACTGCCTCAGAGACAGAAGCACCTCCTGGCTCCCAGGCAGACGCTGGCCTCTCTGAGCAGCTGTTAGCGATAGCTGTGCCGGTGGCCTGGCCTGGGCATGGCCCCTGCCACGCGGCTGTAGCTGGCACTGGTATTGCTTAGCCTGGGACGCTGACTCCATCAGGCCTCCGAGACGGTGCTGCTCTGCACCTCGCGGGCCAGCTGGGGTCTGTGTGTGTGTTCTCCATCCTCACGCCACCCAACTCCCCTGCGGAAACCTGATCACCACGCAGGTGTTGGAGGGGCCGAGCCTCTGGGAGTGGGGCTCCGGCCCTCAGAACTGCCCGTAGAGGCTACCAGACAGGAGCAGACCAAGGCCTCACCAGAGACCAACCCTGCCAGTGCCTTGGATCTGGACTTGCAGCTTCTAGAACAGTGATAAACCAAGGCATACTCGAAACTGTGCTATCAGCTACACTTGCTCTAGTAATTTGTTTCGGTGGCCTGAACAGATCCAGACCACAGGTTCACCCAAGTGGGGGCCCTGGTCAGGACCCTGTGACTCAAGTCTCATCTGAGAATCTTCGTGCCTGTGGGTGTGGCTGAGACCGAAGCGTCGCCTGTGATTTCTTGATTTTGGGTGTGGAATGGCCACCGCCAGGGCCCTGTTCATGCATTCCAGTGCATTTCCAAGACAGGCAGATGGACACACAGCAGTCATCACAGTTCTCAGGCAGAGGTGGCCAAGCACACCCTCAGAAGCATAAAAGGCCTGGACTCCCTTCCTGAATAAAAGGCCTGGACTCCCTTCCTGAATAAAAGGCCTGGACTCCCTTCCTGAATAAAAGGCCTGGACTTCCTTCCTGAATAAAAGGCCTAGACTACCTTCCTGAATAAAAGGTACATGCAAAGGCAGTACTAGGGTTCTTCAGGACATGGCCTTTTGGACACCCATGCCAACATGTTTCTGTATTTCACCCAGTTGCTCTTAAAGACAGACCAACAGAGACCATGAGTGGAGGATGTGCCTATGGCTGCTTCTGTGGGAGGTCCTGAGCCTGGGGGCAAAACTGAGTGCTTGGTGGCATGTGGCTTTTCCTCGAGTAACTCTGTGCTATTTGAAGTGGGAGACCTCATCCTGACAGTGAGGCCTGGCCTGGTCCTGGGAGTGAGGCCCGGCCTGGTCCTGACAGTGAGGCCCGGCCTGGTCCTGACAGTGAGGCCCGGCCTGGTCCTGACAGTGAGGCCTGGCCTGGTCCTGACAGTGAGGCCTGGCCTGGTCCTAGGAGTGAGGCCTGGCCTGGTCCTGGGAGTGAGGCCTGGCCTGGTCCTGACAGTGAGGCCTGGCCTGGTCCTGACAGTGAGGCCTGGC